TGCAACAGAGGTATGGAAAATGAGGATCACACCGCCAACGTTCTGCAGAAGCACGTTATGTTCTTCGACCGAAATAATGATGGGATTATTTATCCCTCTGAAACTTTTGAAGGTCTTTTCTATTTTCTTTTTTCTTTTTTCTTCCCCCCCTGTAAATTGGATATTTATTTTTTAGTCCTTTGTTATCCTATTTATTTATTTATGTATTTATTTTTTTTATTTATATATTTTGGTATTCAGGTTTTCGAGCAATTGGATGTGGGCTTTTGTTGTCGTCTGCTGCCGCCGTGTTTATCAACGTTGGCCTTAGTAGAAAAACACGACCGGTGATTATATATACATATATATATGTGTGTGTGTGTTCTGTATTTTATCGGCGTAGCAAATTTTTTATATATGTGTTGTTGAATTATTTGTTTTTAATAATCTGCAATTTGAGATTATTTTTTCCAATTATTTGTTTTTGTAGAACATGTAAACTAGAGGGAGTGATTATTACAATGCCCTGAGATATTTTAGCAGATGTTGGATTATAATGTCAATAGTTAGATTTATATCAAAAAAATTTGGATTAACTAGTGAGATTTATTTTTATGTTATCTTTTGTGCAATCAATCAATGTAATCAATATCTGTGCAAATTTGTTGTTTTTTGAAGCAGGGGCAACCGTTCTCTATCCATTTTCCGATCGATGTGAAAAACATTCAGTTGGCCAAGCATGGAAGCGACTCTGGCGTTTACGACACACAAGGAAGGTATATATTGTTCGCAAGTCGTCCCACATTGATTTGATAGGATAAATGAGCCTAGTTTAGAAGGTGTACCTAGGCTTATCTTCTTATGGTACAACCGTGATTCCCCGATTATAAAAAAATTGACACTATCTAAACTAACTGTAATTGGACTCTTGCATCATTTCGTTTGATCACATTGCTCTCGTACAATATAAATTTTCTTGCTATTATATAATTCTTGAAGGTTTGTCCCGGTAAAATTCGAGGAAATATTCGTCCAGCATGCACGAACTCATCCAAATGCCTTGACATCTGACGAGCTCAAAAGTTTCATAAAATCGAACAGGGAGCCCAAGGACTATGCTGGATGGTATATTAAATTTGATAATATTACTATTATTCATATTGTCGATTTGTTTTTTTTTAAGGTTGTATAATTCTGTTAGTTTATGAAATAATTCGGAATTGGTGTATCGTATATGTAAGGATCGCTGGCCTAGTGGAGTGGAGAATACTGTATTACCTTTGCAAAGACAAAGAGGGCTTGCTTCACAAAGACATCGTTCGAGCTGCTTATGATGGAAGCCTTTTCGAACATTTGGCCAAGGAGGAAGCATCTAAGAAGCAAAAGTAATTTCCAAAATACCTGATACAATTATTCAAGCAATATATCTATATATATATATATATATATACATTAATTTATTATCTTTTGGATGATCATGTATTTTTATTTTCTCAAGTTACTTAACTGAAAAATGATATGAGTAATAAGCATTAAGAGGACATGCAGTTTATAGATTTGTTAGTTATGTTGTCATATTGTTCTTTTTTATTGCAGAAGAAAAGCTTCTAATGTTGGGTGAAGCAGATATTTAGCATTGCGTCTCGAATTCTACTTGTGTAATGCTGGTTTCTAAGAACAAGTAATTTGTACATGTTTCGTACCTCAATTGTGTTTGATTCTTTCGTGTATGTATGGTTAACTAGTGTATGTATGAATAACTAGTTGCCCGTGCGTGGTCCGTGCGATATAAAGAGAAACAATATTACGATTGTATTGTAAATTAAATATATGAATATCATAAATTTTAATTTACCCATTGTTTTTCAGCTATAAGTGTTTTTAATGGGCAGTATATATTGCGTTGATAGTTAGTATATCTTTAGTATATAACTTGATGCGTTTTTTTATTCACATAACACTTTTATCTAACCACAATTACAATTGTGATATTTGAATTTTGGTTCACCATATTGCGTTATAGTCAATATATTCAGTGTATAATCTTATGCGCTATTTTTATTTACATAGCATCTTATCTAACCAAAATTGTGATGTTTGAATTTTTGTTCAGTATATAACTTGTCATATTCATATCATAAACTGATAGATTATTTTTATCCTGTGACTAAAGATTGTACTATTGAGATATGATGACATTTATATTTGTTTTCAAGGATTAGTCCAAGATAGGATTTTGTTAACTTTTGTGTTATGCATTTGTTTTCCTAGATAAGATAAAGGATAAAATGTGTGAATTACCAATATGCCCTTAATTTAAAATAATTATTAATAAAATAGAGTCTATCACCATTATTTTTACAGTTTATGCTTCCTATTATTAATAAACTACTTTATTATTTTCATCTCCGGTTGGTTGAATGTTCGAGAGCTTTTTTTTCCATGGTTCGCTTACTCCTACAACTAACAAGTTCTCTCGTTTTTTCCTTATTATTGTTTGTTATATAAAAATTAACTCTATATAAAACACCTAAAACATATCTAATGAAAATATTGAAAGCATATAAAATGTTATATCCGTGTGTAAAAATACTTAAATTGTCCTATATTATTATAAAAAAAAAAATGTGTAAAATCGCCTACAATTTCTAAACTACTTTTAAGAACATATCTAAAATTTATACATTTGCAAATCAAAAGTCTTTCAAAGATACACATGGCGCTAAATTATTAAATCTGTTGGAATATTACAGCGTATTATTCATTGTTAGTTTAATATTTTGAATATTCTCTTGTATTATGTAAATTTAAATAGTTTAACCTTTCAACTTTAGAGTATCTTAAATTTTTCTATATCAAAATAATAATTTCAAAACATTAATTGACATGAAAATTTTTTTTAATGGTTCATCTTTGTTTTTAAAGAATTTTCAAATACACCTTAATAGGTAATCATAACGGCACCAAGACAAAATTAACATAACAAATGTTTTTGATTCACGAGTTTTTACATATTATTAGTTCATCAATATCAGATAAAACATACAACTTCTGAAAAAAAAAAAATGCACAATGAAAAAATGGCCAAAAAAATGTTGATGACTCTGTCGAGTTCATAGGTGGCGAAGGAAATTGGTGAAGAAAGGAACAATGGCCAAATGTCTCATCCTCACTAGTGTAGTTTGTTCTGTAGGGATGGCATGTTGTAAATTTTGGACAAAAGGAAGTTAGGACGGCCAGGAATTCAATATAAAAGGTGCATTTAAGACTTTTCCTTCTAAATTTACTGTAGACGTTGACTTTATCTTACTTTCCTGCGACATATTAAATAATCGTGGGAGAGCACGATAACTAAAAAAAATCGCGGGACGGATGTAATCATGCGGGCCTCAATCAGGGAAAATAAACACGCTTTCCGGGGTAGATAAATGTTGCAATCTTATCTAATCACCCCTAACAAACGTGCTCGTAGAGTATACTTGTCCACAAAATTCTAAATGACGGGTACTTTCCTCACATTTCTATCTTTAATGCTATTAAAACTCAAAGTGGCTCTTGGATTTCGAACTGTTGGCTTGATGTTCTACATGACTTTTCCAAATTGTTGAAGACTGAGATTAGAAATGGTGCTACTACTAGAATAGAGGATGTGAATTGCGTGTCAAATCTCTCAAAACCCAAACCAGTTATGTTAGAGCTAGCAAGGGATCATTTGATATGGGTTAAGGACTTGATGTTAGAAAATGGCCTTGGATGGAATGTATGGTTGATGAAACAAGTTTTTGATGAGGAAGACACCAAGGCCATCTTGGGTATCAATACTCTCAAACCTAATAAATCTGACAGGCTCTTCTGGGGTCTTGACAAAAAGGGGATATTTTCTGTTTCCAGCACATATTCTTATGTCTAAGCAAAGAGCACTGAAAATGCATATGCTTGAGAGCAACTCTAACGCTTTTAACAACAGAGCAACCACCTATAGATGTTGGCATTTGAAAGTGCCTGGGAAAATTAAGTACTTCTTGTGGAAATGCCTCTTAGAGACCCTACCGGTCAAGTTCAATATGAAAACGAGGGGTTTGGACATAGATACTACCTGTTTGTGTTGTGGTGAAGTGAGAAAACATCTTCTTTTTTGCGCCCACGTGATAGTAGACTCTGGGACCTAGCCCCGGTTAACTGGTATGGTATTAATCTTTCTTCATGCTCCTTTAGACATTGGTGGCAATAGGTTTTCTCACTGGACCATTCAGATGTAGCAGAGGCAAGGATACAACTAACAACATATATGCTATGGTGGCTTTAGAAGTCTAGAAACCTTTGGCTCTTCCAAAAATCCCTTATCCCTATTCATATTATCAGCAGGGCTGCACACAAGGACTGGCTTACTCTTCTGTTGTTTAGTTTATTTTCACTGTTAGTTTCTTTGCTTTTCTGTGGTTTTTTTTTCCGTTGTTTGTTATTGGAGTTGGAGTGTCTAAGCTAAGCAGTTGTGGCAGTGGCTAGGCCATCAAACCTCCTTTAGTATGTTTGTGGTAGTTTTTTCAACTCTTGTTTGTTTATTGAAGCTCTAGGCCATTTTGTAAGTGGGCCTCCCAGTTTGTTACTACGGTTGTTAGGGGGTGTGGTGTATGAACTTTTTCCCTGTTTGAGTAACATAGATCTTTCTATCATTCCGTGGAAAAAAAAAAGGTCAGTAGCTTGAAGAAAAATGTCAATCAATTGAATAAAAATGAGTTCATGAATGGAAAAATCATAAAATATTAATTGCACTGGATAATCTATTCTTCTTAACATAACCAGAATAAAAATGTGGATTATATACATATCATAAACTACCCATAACAGCAGATGTGGGTGGGAAACAAACAATAAAACATACCATCGGTGAAAACCAGATGCATCATGTAAAAAAAAAACGATTAAACACCTCAATTACAAACTCAAAGCCGCCATGAATCACAACATGGCGATCCAAAGCCCAAAATCTTCTGATAAAATCAAAGAATCAGAAGCCTATTAATTAAATAAAAGCAAAGAAAACACATTTCAAGATGAGAAACACGTGAAGCACGCACCAATGAAAAAATATACTGAAAAGATACTGCTTATACAAGCTGTTAATGTTATATACTGAAATATTGGCTTTGGATAATAATACACTTTCACCCTTTATGAATGAGAATTATGTTAGATAAAACAAGTTCTATGTTCTGTTGTTTTGCACTTAGGTAGAGTGGGTCGTCATAGCGCGAACCGAAGATCATTCTATCAGTTACTTGCGAAACAAGAATAATAGTTCACTACCTAGATGAAAATGAACACCCCATCCTGAACGGTTGTAGTGTCAACGCTACAGTTTGTCTTGACTGATTAGTTGCACTAGTACATTGATGTATTGAACATGATCCCAAAGATGAGAAGTTCGTTTTATACTAATTGTCGTAATCGAACTAGACCTCGGTTAATTACTGCGTTCTCTTAACCCGTAAGATATTAAACAGACATATATATGTAGCATATATTATTTTAATTCACATGAATGAGGTCCAGTTAAATGGATCAATAGTTTCATTGTCTTGGTTAGTATTGTTGTATATATGATGTGCTGTCAGGATATTTACGGTCACCATGTACGTTTAGTTTGATAATGTCCCGAGAGTGAGTTCATGAAGGATTATTATTCCAAAATTTGCAGGAGAATTAAATTACGACATAGTAATAATGTAGTGAACGAGCGCTAGCTTCGGTGAAATAAAATTAAATTAACTAATTCTTGATTACCAGTAATCGAATTAATTAATGGACATTATATCTAAAACATGGAGAGATAATTCGAGTAATTATTATTGGATTCTGAATTGTAAATCGGGCTAGGAAAAGGGAGTGCAACAATATTTTGTTAGTGACCTATAATATGATTTAATTAATTAGAACATTGGGTTTAGCCCACAGATATTTTAATTAATTAAAGAGTCATATTCCTAATCTCCTAAAGGTCCCTACTGTAGCTCTATACTCATGGAAAAGAAAATAAGAGATCATAATTCTACTACGCGTGAGATACATAAAGTCGCGCACCTCTCTCTCTAGTTTCTGTTCGAGCTTAATCTTCTTCTTGTTGCTCCACCGATACAAGTTGAAGAGGTGTTCAAATAATAGAGTAACAACTCCCGAGGTAATTGAGATACGTATATTCGAGTACTCCGGAGCCAACAGATCACGACCCGAAAGCTGCAACCACCGACCCCGAGCCGCCGTCGACTCCGCGTCCCAGCCGGAGCGCCGCCGCGTCCCATCCGAACGACCCATGAGCCATACACGCCACCCGGATCAATCCGTCTGCGAGCCCCGCGACGCCCACGCGCCACCTGCGCGACCCGACGATCCGACCCACACGATCTATGTGACCCGATCGCGAGCCCGACGTTCAGTTCGTGATCCCGACGTGTTCGTGTGTTCATCCCTGTCAATCAAATCAAGATCAGCCAGATCGCCATAAATTTTAAGCCGTAAGTTTCATACGTCATACCTTTAGATCCACTGCGCATAGGTTTACGTTTGCTATTGAATACGTGATTTGTATATAACGAGATCCTCACAGATCCCAGCAAGTGGTAT